CCCAGGAAGGTTTACAGTTAGGCCTGCACTCAGGCCCCAGGAAGGTTTACAGTTAGGCCTGCACTAATCCCCTGGGCAGGTGGAGGCAGTTCTTGTCTTTCCTGGGGCCTGCATGTGGGGAACCACAGCAGGGGTGCACAGGGGCTGCCCTTGCTCCGGTCGAGGGAGGGAGGAGGGCCTAGGAGGTGGCCAGGCGGCTCTGGGCCCTGGTTGGGGCGTCTCAGCCATGCCTTCTATCCCCTCCCCTGTGGCAGCACGTGTCTCCCATGCGCCAAGTGGAGCCCCCGGCCAAGAAGCCAGCCACACCAGCAGAGGATGACGAGGATGATGACATTGACCTGTTTGGCAGCGACAATGAGGAGGAGGACAAGGAGGCAGCACAGCTGCGGGAGGAGCGGCTGCGGCAGTACGCGGAGAAGAAGGCCAAGAAGCCTGCACTGGTGGCCAAGTCCTCCATCCTGCTGGATGTCAAGCCTGTGAGTGGGCAGGGTGGAGCTTCTGGGAGCCGGGCATTGCCCTGGTGCCTGCCCAGCTGGCTCAGCCTGTGACCCTCCCTCCCCTGCTCTCTCGGTTCTGGGGAGACTTTTAACGCCAAGTTGAGAAGTCTTGGGATAAACACAAACTTGGAGACAGGAAGGTGTGAATTTGGATTTTCTGAGGGCCCTTTAAGGAAACAATTGTACACACAGTGGGTAGGGGGTAGGGGGCACGCAGGTACTTCCTGGGTGTTCTGAGGGTGGCTGACCCCAGCTTTTCCTCCCCTTTCCCCACAGTGGGACGATGAGACGGACATGGCCCAGCTGGAGGCCTGTGTGCGATCTATCCAGCTGGACGGGCTGGTCTGGGGGGCCTCCAAGCTGGTGCCCGTGGGCTACGGTATCCGGAAGCTACAGATTCAGTGTGTGGTGGAGGACGACAAGGTGGGGACAGACTTGCTGGAGGATGAGATCACCAAGTTTGAGGAACACGTGCAAAGTGTCGATATCACAGCTTTCAACAAGATCTGA